AATTAGACTCGTCCATGATTTTAACTGTGGAATAGACAAATGGTATTTTGGACTTCTTTCTTTAATCAAATTAACATTTGTTATCCTAGAAATGGGTAATTCTTCCCTAAATTTTCTAGCATTGCAGAGTCAAGTTGAAAAAAATAGAAAGAATTGGGTAGAAAATTTCTAAATACCCATTATACAGTCTCGACTTTGTGGGGAAATGCATGAGATGGATGGTACGAGAGAAAGAAGTATAAGTAAGGAACTGCGGATTTCAGACTTTTCACTTATAAAAAAAAAAAAAAAAAGTCTCCACTTTATTGTTTCCCAAAAAAGGAGCTACAAGGCCCAATGGGGAGCCCGCCTAATGTGGACTTTCTGGCTGGCCAACGGCCTGTTGCTGTTGAATCAAAGGACGGCTTAAATAGAGGACTTAGCAGTCAATAACACACATAGTAATCTCAGCTGATTCAGTTCTCAACATGTCAAGCCCAAATCAGTAGAGTGCAACCTTGGGTAGTTAAGGACGAATGAATTTTTGTGTGTGGCCCGGATACAAATTAAACAGCATTTGGCATAATGGACCCTTTTGATTAGAATAATTTGTAAACAAAAAATTTGAATATTTTTCAATTAGCATAAAAAATATAATTTTCAATCACCTTTTTATCTCCTACATATAATTCTTTTTTAATGTCAGCTCTATATTTTTACTGATAAGCAAAGTGGAGTACATGTCACGGACACCTCACCTCACTAGGCAAATTAACGAGGTAATCCTAAAATCCTTGATTTTTTTTTTTGAAAAAAAAACGAATATACAACATAAAACCACAAGAAGCTAGCTGTCTAAATTCAGTACAAACAAAACCACGAACGTATCAACAGTAAAATTGGGAAAATGTTTCTTTAGTGCAGAAGACGATGTGTTTCAACATTGTCATCCAGCACTCAAACGACTCCATCATATTTGGAGTGTGCTTAAAGAAAATCTGAGAAAGATATACACGCTACAAGCTCAATTTCGTGGATTGAAATCCTCGACAGCTAATTACTCTGAGTTTCATGTATGAAGAAGCCATGGCAAAATTGGACAACCCTCCTCACATTTCCTCCATCATAATAGCATGAGGAAACGACTTTGATACTTCAGCATTTGTGACTGTAGAGAAGCTCTTAGGCCTTGTTTAGATTGTGTTTTTTTTAAGACATTTTTTAGGTCCTCGTGAGCATATTTCTTTTCTTAGGTTCTCATCTTCCCCAATGTTGCTTGCAGTGACTATAGACTTTAAGCATAAGTTAAGAAAGCTGGAAACAAGGGGTTGCCCTGTCCTCCTACGTACCATATTTTTATTTCTTCTTGTAAGTTGTAACTACTAACCACGAAGTCCACAAGATATACAATCTCAAGTAAGTGAACAAATTGAGAAGTTCAAGTTACTGATGATATAAGTTTTAGCGAACTGTACGTTCATAGAAGATACTTATGAATTTGCACTATTTTTCCGTAGAACATCCTGCATGTTAAACCTTTGTTATCTACTAGTATATCAAATTCAGCAGCCGCCTATGGCGTTCCTGGAAAGAGGTCATTTTGACTGAGATATATAAGGAGCCATGTAAGACTGAATATGAAGACTTGAGAGTATAACTTATTGATTTTTCTTTTATTGTTAGTAGTTAAAAGTAAAATTTTGCTATAATAGACCAAATCCGACTTATCTCCGGTCTAAAACTGGACAATAAAAAAAAATAAGGCTTTGAATGTTCGAGCCTGATCTTTTTGGAAATTAGTAGAATCCAGGACCAAAAACTGTACTTTGCATATTCATATTCCTTGGTTCCATTCCCCCCCCTCCCCCAAACAAAAAAAACAACACACACACAAAAAACCCACAAAAATGATGACGATATTTTAGTTCAATCTCGCTCGTGAATTTGTAAACCAGTGTGATGAATTTTTTTGGATTGCCATTTTTTATATTTTTATATTTTTAACGAACACATTTATTAATCACCTTATTCCCTTACACACATTAAATTGCTGCAGTTCATGGTTTACGAAAATTTTAGAAAACAATAATCCAAACGTGTTCCAATTGTTGTTTCTGACATGAACTACAAACACAGAAATGTGGATATATTTTATAGTTGTAGTATCCTTCTTTGCTTGTTCAATGAACTCAGAATAGATAGAACTAATTTCGCGAACGAACACGACAGTTTTTTTTTTTTTTTAATTTTATGAGAGAACACGACGACAGCTTCAGTTACACCTCAGATCATTTAGATATATGCCAAATTCTCATCTTAATTTCTTGGCCAGTGCTTCATTTTTTAGCATATTCCTAGCATCTGAACTCCGTGTCAAGGGAGGACAGCCCTAGACTGGTCACCGGCTACAATAAGGATTTCTATTGTACTAAAGGTCAAAAAATATTTCCATAGCATTCACTGTTGGATGGTCAAGATCGAAAAAGGTTTTGGGTGACCTCGTTAACAATAAAAAAAAAAAAATTTTTGGAACTGTTCTCAAATAAACATTCACAGAAAGTACTTTCAATCAAAAAAAGAAATTTCAGAAAAAACAGTCCAAACGGACAATTTTAACTTTCTAAACTAAACAAAAAAAGAAAAAAAAGAACTTGAGCAAGGGATAACAAGCAAAATGGTGGTGTCATGTAAATCCTACTAGTATCCTTCAATGAAAAGAATGGCAAGTGAATTATTGAACCTCTATAATCAGCCACGGATTTAAGGGGGGGCTGGTGGGGGCTTAAGCCCCCCCCCCCCAAGCCGCCGGAAAACCCCCTATATATAGGGGATTCCGGCGGCCAGCCCAGCCATTCCGCAGAGGGCAAGCTCAGGCTCCTGCTTGATGATTTTTTCTTTGTCTGATGAGGTCAGACATTCCGCAGAGGGTTGCACGTATCCATACCCAAACCCTATGGCAGAGTTGCAATAAGTCTCTACGGTACCATCCCTAGATTCTAGGTTGATGTTGTTCAGCACAATGTGGCTGCAAGGAACCGTGTCGCTGCATGCAAATTTCATGGCGTTTTTGCTTTTGGAAGTCCCGCTAATGTTCTTGTACATGATTTCACTTATTTCAACTGCAGAACTCTGGATATAAAAAGTCGTTGTCAGGATATTTTAAGGATGAGTAGATAAACAATTGCCTGCACTTTTTTTTTTTTGGTCGAATTTTAGTATCATTCAGAGTTTATTCACCAAAGAGAGCAGAAAATACAAAGTCCGTCTGGTTTCCAATTAACCAGCTATTCTGGAAAACCATGAAGCTAGAGGGTGAATCATACCTGGTTCTGGCAAGGCGTCGGCGAATCACAGTAGAATTGGTCAATGATAATGGGATTTGAAACGTCATCTACTCTCACATTCTGATATCGTACCCCTCGAACATACCCAGATCCTCCCTGCAGAGCTACCATTTTTAATCATTCTCCATATAATTATATGTTTTTATTATTTTTATAATTATTGATTCTAAATTTTACTTATTAAATATATTTATTTCGTCACAAAAAAATTTTTTAATACACTTCGGCCCCCCCAAAAATAAATTTCTGGCTCCGTCCCTGTCTATAATTATCGTTTGGAAAAAAAAAAAAGAATTATTGAACCTCTATAAGCTTTTCCACAGCCTATCTTTGAATAAAATACCGATAAGCCTTGTCGTCTTGGCGGTTCTTGCATCTTCTTGTTCTTGGATAAGCATTAACTGATTCAGCCGAAAGTCAAACGCGTACTAATTTTCTGACAAAAAAAAACCGTACTAATTTACGAAAAAACTACCAAACGTGGTAAATCTTATGCCGTCCATTCCCTCGTGTCCACCAACAGTGCTTGTGCTTGTAGTGATTGACACCAACGTTATGGCGTAGCCATCAAAAATTGGATCAATCGGTTAATTTTATCGCAAAATGCCGTGCATTCAAATTTTATTGTCGATATGATAATTGTATTAATAAATTATTTATAAAAAATTTAAAATTACAAAATGTTAAGCATTCAAATTTTGTTGTCGATATAATAATCATTTATAAATAATTTATATTATTATGTATAGTCCTGAGGACTCGTAATAATAATCAAAATCAATCGAGTTCACGCAAACTCTTTTTTTTTTTTTTGCCTAAAAAAAAATAGCGTTACAACCTCTAAACAATAGAACATATAGACATCATTTGTTGGCCCGCACAGACAACCAATATTAAAAAAATATATTTATTTCACACAAGTACATCGTAGAAAATCAAAAGCAACAAATTTTATATTTCTGCTGCTGGTCAGAGTATTAAAATCGGGAGTCAGTCAAGTCATATTAAAACTTGAAGCAAATGCGCTGTAATGGCGTGGCAATGGTCAGAATTCTCAATAAATTATTATTATTATTTTTTTTTTTTTGGTCAAAAGGTCATCAATAAATTTCAAACACCGCAAAATTGGAGATGCCTCCGCCAGGTGCTGAGTCATACGCGACCCGGATTAGGTTGCATGCCAAGAATAGCACGCAATTACCAATTGTTAATATATCTTAAATGATACTTCCATATTTTATTTTTAATAGCAAAAATTATACTAGTAAGATAAATAGTAGAAATGCGATTATCAAAATTTGGATTTTGGACTACCATTAACATTTTATAAGAGTATTTTACCATTGTTTTGTCTTCTTCCTCTAATAATATTTTTTTTTTCATCATTGGGAGATAAAAAAAATGAAAATGTCAATTTAGTATCCACCTCCCTAAGCACTAAGCACTAAGCACTAAGCACCTACGCCATTATAAACACCATCCTCTACTCCGTCCAGGCCTCTCTCTTCTTCCACTTCACGTCTCCTCTTCTTCTTCTTCGTCCTCCTTTTCTTCTCTCTCTACTCGGCATCATTCCAAGCATCTTCCCCATTTCAACACGTTCTTCATACTCAGCCAATCACGCTTTTATACATATATATACACACACGTAGAAAGAAACAAGGGAGTTCATTAGAAATGGAAATCCCAGAAATCAGCATAATAACCGATTTTGGAGCTGCTGGAATGGATTGCCTGCAAAACCCATCTTTAATTTCTCGAGTCTTCTCTCTCTCCAACTTAACCACCCAAGTGCACAGTTTCTGGAAATGGGGTGCAATAATTATAGCCATTTTTGCAACCTTCAGCAGCATCATTAAAAGAATCAAAGTCATTCACATTCGTAGGATCAAATCCTCTTCCGAATCCCTCCTCCAACACCTCGACATTGATTTCGACCTCAGCGACGATGATGATTCCACCAATGATTCGTCGCGGGCCTCATCCGATAGCGAGGATGACGACGACAGCCCGACTTCTACGGCGTCGTTTCTTAATCCTTTCTCAGGCGATAGAGATTTTCGCCTTAAGGGCTCGACTAATTATTACAAAAGCCAGGGGCAAAATGATCATTTGAGGCTACGACGCCACCGCCAGAATGAACGCTCCGGTGGTTGCGAGGGATTGGCATGGCCGGATTTTGGCGCCGGAAACGGCGTTGTGAAGCTGTGGGACAGTTTAGGACTAAGCTTAGGTTTCGATTCTTTTGATGATTATTCGGATTCCGACAGCGTAGTTTCGTTGTGGGATTTTGATAAAGAGAAGAAGATAAGCGATGCTTTTGGTGGCTTCGGTGATTCTCCGGAGGCTTTTGTGGCGGCGGTGCCGTCTCGCCCGGTGGTTTTGTCCGCCAAGGCGCGTGATAATAGCAACGGCGTCGTACTGGGTGCCTATGACACGAGAATGGGAGGCCAAAAGCCAGCTCTATACGCGGAATGGGGCCGGTCAAGCTCGCCGGCGAAGGTGGTCGGTCTGAAATCCGGCAGTGTTGATAAGGTTTACGTTAGGGATGACGTCAGCGGGGCTTTAACGGTAGGTGACGTGCGGAGAGTGAAGACTCCGCTGGAAACTGTGACGGAGACTGACGGCGATTTATGGTGGGACGCTGACGCCGTTATTCTCGAGGACGAGTTTGCTGACTGTTCAAAATAACTGCCCGGTCAGCTCCTACTCAGTTGGGCCTGACGACTCGGTTGTTGGATCGTGTGGACGCGGTCTGTTAAGGCTCATGAATAGATAAATTTGTACGAAGATTCTCGGATCATCGAATGTACTCGGGACTGGGACCAGTTGTCGGTGAATTATAAAATATATTTGATCTTATTTTTGTGGAAAATGGAAATCCACATAGTTAAGTCTTTCTGAAAGACCTCACACTTGTCTGTAAATATTTGTTTCATCGTAAAATAGGAATATTCTTATTGATATCTTAAGATAAGAACACTCAAGATTATCTTAATGGTTGTTGGCTTTGGTCTTTTGGTTGGTTAGCTTCTTCTTCTTCTTCCTTTTTTTTTTGCCTTTTTTGACGCAGAATAATTTATTGATTAGATATCTCATTAGTTAGTACTCATCTATCCAATTTTTTAAAAATAGGTGATTTTATTGTGGTATTGCTGAATTTATTTTCAAAATTATCATCTAAAATTCAAAATTCAAATTTAAATTTAATATGAAATAAAGATGTAGATGAGGATAATATTAGAAAAAAAAATCACGAAAAACGTTACTTTGAATTTGGTTTGGCTTGTTTGGAAAGCCATTTTTCACCAAAAAATTTCTATATTTTTTATGACCACATTTTTCAATCAACTTTTTATCTTACACATATCAAATTCCTACAGTACATTTTATACAAAATTTTCAGAAAATTGTAATTCAAATAGGAATATTTCAGAACATCCAAGAAAAAAAAAGTATGGGATGGAGAGAGTATATATATATTTTTTTAACCTTTGTTTTTGTTTCAAAGAAAATGCCAAACCTTTCAAAAGAGAAGGAAATTGGAAAAAAAAAAAAAAAGTTGAACCGGAAACAAATAAAAGATCTACTACTTTGTTATGTACAAATGATACAAATTTATAAGTAGAATAATTCTCTCAATCGATGAAATCTTGGTTTAGCGATTGAAATCTCAAAATTTAGAGGTTCTAGATTCAAATCACCTTTTCCTCTTTTGCTTCTTAAATCCAAATCCTTCTCTACTGAAAAAAGTATTAACAAAAGAGAAGACGTCTAGTCTTGTTTTTCAACTAATTTGTTAACCAAAGGGTACTAAAATAGTTATTATTCTATTCCCACTTGTGTCTGAAGTACCAAGTTTGTTGGAGTTACAAATTTTTTTTGTTAGTACACCTTTTAATTATCGTTCCTAGTAATATTGGTTGTGACTTGCAAGCAATATTGGAGGCTGATTAGATGAGTGAAACCTCGATCAGTTTACCAGAATCTAGAGTCCAGGTGGAGTATGTTTTAGGTTGTGATAAGCACAAGTTACAAGAAATTGGAGCATGCAAATAGCTAAATGACGTCCATCATTTTGTAAAAATACCAAGAAACAACTGCCTAAATAGGAGACGAGAGACATTCACGTTGGTCCTCGACCTAATGCATGACATTGTACTCGAGGGTGCAATCTTGCTAAAATGGAGGAACTTCGTAAGAAACTGCAGAAGTTTGGAATTCCAGTTACGATTTGTTTTCTTTTATTTTTTTGTTGTTTTCCAGCAGTTGATGTCAAGAATTTGTCCATTTCGAAAGAGTACCAAACATTAATTATAGTAATGATACACGTTCCAGGTACTTGAACCAAACAAATATATTGGAATGAATGACCTCATTCTAAATTCAGGATATCCGATTCCGAATTCGAATCTGATTCCAACGTGCGAATCAAATGCCACCTAAATACCTTTGGACTGGCTGTTACTGTCAGCTTATTATTATTAGCATTATTTTTTGGTTAAGTTGCAATTGCTATCAATTATTATGTAGTAAAACCTCCCTCTTTCGGTCATTAATGATAAAATCCACCCAAAATGACCAATATATTGTTGCCAATTTTGAATGTTGATTAATTGGTTCGTTACTTTGACTACCCAATTAATTCAGGAGTTTGATAAATTAATGGTAAAAAACAATCAAAACTCAGTTACAAGCGGCTAACATCAACCACAACTCGATACAAATGAAATGTAACAGCAGGTTTTGATAATACCCCCCCCCCCCACCCAAAAACAAAAAAACACACACACACACAGAAACCAGAACATTTTTCTTCTATAAAATTAATGAGCTTTGTGAAAATTGCCGAAATCAGACCACCATTCTTGGTACTTCTGGACTTTGAATCCTAGAACAGTACTAACTTTTCCGTCCTCGAGAATACCATGTGATCGCCGAGGCACCGACCAGGTAGTTGGTCCTGTGATTCCCAGCCAGCTTTTTGACATTTTTGCCAACTGTATGTGGGGAAGTGAGGGAACTGCCCCATGGAGATTAGAAGGGGCCAAATGCAAATGAAACAGACCTTTTCTTTCTTTTTTTCCTTTGCATCCATCATGTTTTTCGTGGGATAATTGAGTAATGAACTGTCTCAGTCAATTCGTACAAGGAAGGGTGTGAAAGCCAAAAAAGCCCAACTTAATTTTGACATCAAAGCGGAGGAAATTTACTTTCAAACGTTACGTTGACTACGTGAAAGGCATTTTACGCAAGGTCTTTGTTATTTATTCTCGTAGATCAACTTCTTCCTAAAACTTTAGGATTCCAACCACAAAGGATTGCTATGTGGGCTTCTTGTCAAACGCTGCAGCACTCGATTGTTTTTCTTCAATCTTCTTGTGCAACATTTCGACTTCACACTCTCCTAAGTTATCTGAAACATGTGCTGCACGTTTTGCTGAAAAATGTCATAAGTTTGGTAGAGAAATTTATGATGATCGAAGTTTGGGCTTTTATTATGTACGATTATTGAGTTTGACATCCACTAGTGAACTAGAAGTCCAGAAGATTTTTTTTTTTTTTTTTTTTTGTAAAAGTATTAAGATGGTGAATGAATAGCGCCGTGGCTTGTAAAATAGCAATTGGTTGAACGTAGCTACTCCATAATGTAAAGGGAAAGGTTAGTCTTAATTTCGATGGCCTATATAGGGCTGCAAACGAATCGAGTCGAGTCGAATTTTAAGTTAATCGAGCCGAGTCTCGACTAAATTTTTGACTCGGCTAAATTTTATCAAACTTGAGCTCGAGCTCGAGCTCGACGAGCCGGCAATTTTCGAGCTCGAGCTCAAAAAAAAATAAAAAATAAAAATTTTATTTTTAAAAAAATAAATAAAATAATATTTTTTTCTAAATAAATAATAAAATATTAAGGATATATACGTAATTTTACTATAAAAATAAAAAATAAAAAATATATATATAATATACGTAATTTTATTATTAAATAAAAATAAAAATAATATATATATATATATATACTCAATCTCGCGAGCTAACGAGCTTAATATTCTTAGTTTGAGTTCGAGCTCGAGTTGGACTCGAGCCGGCTCGAGCTCGACTCGAGGTCGATTAATATCGAACTCGACTCGAGCTTGACTCGAGCCGCTTGCGAGCGGCTCGATTCGTTTGCAGCCCTAGGCCTATATATATATTTAGGGGTAAAATGTCTCGGTGGCCCTCAAATCATTATCAGCTTTAACTTTTGGCCCTTTAATTATTAAATGGACAGTTTTATCTCTCAAATTATTTTAAATGTATATATATAATCCTTCCATCTATTTGAGTCATGTCTAACAAGAATAGACCATACACCGAGGATGGTTTGTAAAGACCCTTAGACCCACTTCGCAAAAAGTCTCTTGGCGTAAACTTGTATGGGATAAGGGGTCTATTCCAAGATTCTCATTTATTCTTTGGTTGTTATGTAAGAACAGACTATATACCGGGGATAGAATGAGGAAGTGGGCAAGTTTAAGTGGTAACTCTGAATGTGTGTTGTGCAGTGCAGTGGTGTGGAGGAATCGATCAACCACATCTTTTATGAATGTCCTCCTATTTTGCAGTTTGGCAGAAAATTCTAAAAATGGTTTCAGTTTTAAGAGATCCCTTGCCATGGTCAATGGAATTATCTTGGGTTCGTGGGCATTGGATGTCTACATCCTTTATTGATAAATTTCAAAGGATTGTTCTAGCTGTCTTTGTGTACTTCATTCATCTAGAAAGCTAGGAATCGGATACTATTCCAAAATGAAAATGCATCTGCTGTGGCTATAGTTGGTCAGATCATTGATACCATCCAATATATTGGAGCCTCATGGAGGGATGTGCCAAAGATTCAGGACATTTGGTCGCTTATTGTTGAGTGGGGTATTTTTCATAAGTGTTACAATAATTATTTTAAAAAAATATTTTGTAATAATATTCTATCCAAACAAAGTCAGAGTTTTTTTTTGTCGTTTTTAGCAAAAAATGAAAATGAAATGGCAATTTGAAAAAGAAAAAACTAGTTTTGAAGAAGTAAACCCGACTCTTCTCTAGATTTATGTTTTTTTTCTTATTCTTCAACATTCAAGTTTTTTACCATTAGAGAGAATCAACGTTGGCTGCCATAATTGGTGCCGTTGCCGGAGACAGACGGGAACATAAGCAGCAGTCGAGCTTAATGTGTAAAGTTTTTTCTTTTTCCTTTTTTTTTGGTGTGAATTTGTGAGTATACTTGCTATACTAGACTAGAAGGATGCCCCCAAAAAAAAAAAAACATTAAAATTTACAAGCGATCATGAATAAATTAAGCTGCCGAAGGATATATGCTTGGATTGAAAGTATCACTACTCGATTATATGTCGGAGAAGAAATGATCCACAATTTCACAATCCATATGTATTGTGGCTTATTGCCTGTTACCTCAAACTCTCAAGTTTCAATCGCTTTCATCGATTTTTCATACCTTAGTTTCAACAAAATACTGATTAGCGTCTTCAAGCAATCTGAGGTCTTAGAAGAAGATGTCAAGGAGGTTGGGGCTTTTTCATGGTAATTGTCGGATCATACCCTTTTCTTTTTTCATTTTTTTTTTCCACTTGGGAATTTGGATTCTTAGCTACTTGGTAGCAACAAGACATCAGGAATTCTGGAAATTCAGACTCCTT